AGGAGTGCTGCTTGACAAATAGCAAACAAATAAATCTATGTGAGTCAGATGGAGAAAACTAAAGGACTAAAGAGATGGGTGTGTGTGTGGGGAATTTTATATATGGTGGTTGGGCAAGGCCTCCCTTGCTGGGGTCCTGCCCCAGCAGGTCCAGGGGTCCCCAAAGGCGTAGACGGAGTCAGTGAAGAAGGAAGGACACGGAGACAGTGTTCAGTTGATCATCATAGCGAGGTTCTCTAGCCAGGTTCTAGCCAGGTTCTCCAGGCAGGTTCTGTTACCAGGTTCTAGTCAGGTTCTCTTGCCAATTTCTGTAGTCAGGTTCAGTCCAGGATCTTTTGCCATGTTCTCTCCAGCGAAGTTCTTCAGTCTGTAGGTTCTGTGTAGGTTCTGTCTTCTCTTGGTTCTGTCTTCTTCTGGTTCTGTATTCTAAGTTCTGACTCTTGCTGTCTTATTGCATCTGTATTTATACCAGTTGATTCAATCCTATCAATCTCTATTACAAAGGTTAGGGCGTTTCTTATCTCCATTCCAGGGAGTAAAGATTATGTAGCTTAAGCATGATTGTTCCTAGTTAAAGTGATTAATTACCCACCTGGCACTAGTTAAGAGGTTTTATTCCCACCTTAACTTCAGGGGAAAATCCCTACCTGGGGAAACAACCTTTCTCAGAGAGGAGACCTTGGTTAAAACACATAGTGCCAAGAAGGTGAGCAAACATATTAAGAACAGTATGCCATATGTGCCAGGTCCCTTGAAACAGCAAGGATGGACCGGCTCCCGGCAAATTCCCCCTTTTTTATTTTTTAAAATCGGGCATTAAAAAGAAAAACCCCAAATGCTCTCTTGTATCCATTTTAAGAGTAGGATTGGTGCTTTCCGCTATTACCTGAGTCCTGATCTATCACCCCAGGGAGAGCTTGCCAATCCTGCACTTTACCGGGTGGAAAGGCTGCAGTGGGGTTAAGGATAAGGCTCCTTGGGCCTACCTTCTCCCATGCCTTTACATTTACCTTTCCTTCCTCAGAAAAGCATGGACATACTTCTTGTATAAAACGTTCTGACTGGGAGTAACCTTAATTCCTCTGCTAGCAAGCATATGTGTTAAAAGATCAATACAGAGTCTTATTTCTTTAGACTCAGTATGGCACATCTTCTTAATCTAAAGATCAATACAGAGTCTTCTTTCTTTGGACTCAGTATGGCACATCTTCTCAATCTAAGAATCAATACAGAGTCTTCTTTCTTTGGACTCAGTATGGCACATCTTCTCAATCTAAGTTCTGTACTATCCACCTTCTTACCCTACTTATCCTCTATAGGGGGGTCTGAAGTACCCTGGTGGAGTCCTATCCGTCCCGAATGTGGGGGTTCTCAATGGGGGGGGGCTTACCTAGGGGAATCCTGTTCCAGGGGTTCCCAAAGGTGTGGACGGAGTCGGCGAAGACTATCCACCCTCTTCCTACGGTGGAGTCCTATCCATCCCGAGAGTGGGGCTTACCTAGGGGTCCCTGTTCGGGCGCCATATGCTGGGGTCCTGCCCCAGCAGGTCCAGGGGTCCCCAAAGGCGTAGACGGAGTCAGTGAAGAAGGAAGGACACGGAGACAGTGTTCAGTTGATCATCATAGCGAGGTTCTCTAGCCAGGTTCTAGCCAGGTTCTCCAGGCAGGTTCTGTTACCAGGTTCTAGTCAGGTTCTCTTGCCAATTTCTGTAGTCAGGTTCAGTCCAGGATCTTTTGCCATGTTCTCTCCAGCGAAGTTCTTCAGTCTGTAGGTTCTGTGTAGGTTCTGTCTTCTCTTGGTTCTGTCTTCTTCTGGTTCTGTATTCTAAGTTCTGACTCTTGCTGTCTTATTGCATCTGTATTTATACCAGTTGATTCAATCCTATCAATCTCTATTACAAAGGTTAGGGCGTTTCTTATCTCCATTCCAGGGAGTAAAGATTATGTAGCTTAAGCATGATTGTTCCTAGTTAAAGTGATTAATTACCCACCTGGCACTAGTTAAGAGGTTTTATTCCCACCTTAACTTCAGGGGAAAATCCCTACCTGGGGAAACAACCTTTCTCAGAGAGGAGACCTTGGTTAAAACACATAGTGCCAAGAAGGTGAGCAAACATATTAAGAACAGTATGCCATATGTGCCAGGTCCCTTGAAACAGCAAGGATGGACCGGCTCCCGGCACTCCCTGATGGGATGATATTGAACGGAGACCTGAGAGAAGTAAGGGAGCAGGACCTGCAGGGATCTGGGGGAAGGGTACTGGGGCAGAGGGAACAGCCAGTGTAAAAGCTCTGGCAGCCTGGCCTGCATGGCTTGGTAGCTGAGCATCGACCTATGAACCAGAAGGTCACGGTTCAACTCCCAGTCAGGGCACATGCCCGGGTTACTGGCTCTGTCCCCAGTAGGGGGCGTGCAATAGGCATCCAATCAATGATTCTCTCTCATCATTGATGTTTCTCTCCCTCCCTCTTCCTCTCTGAAATCAATAAAAAATATTTTAAGAAAAGCTCTGGCAGGAGCCTGCTTGGCATGTTCCAGGAATAACAAAGAGAGGTGGGACGTGAGGCAGAGGGAACGGGGTGCTCAGAGCATGCAAGGCTTTTCTTGACCATTTAGAAGGGAAGTTTCTTTCAATTACCTTCTAAAGGCATCAAGGCCTGATGGTTGTCCCCAAGAAAACCGGAGCAGCAGGAGGCCCTAGTTCCTCGCTTATATGATCCTCTCAGCGGGTCTGAATGCCCTCATGCCAGGCAGCTGGGTTTCCCCTGAGCTGAGGCAGTGAGCTGGCCGTAGTGAAGTGGGGTGCAGGGCTGAGGAAGGATAGGGATAGAACAGAAAGGGGAGGAGAGAAAATAATGATACAATAAGCAGTGGTCTAAGTGGATTCTGTGGGCCAGGTAAAGTGGTATTGTACCACAACATCTGGTTTACAGATGAGGAGACTGAGGGTCAGAGAGAGAACATGCAGAAGACCAGACACCTGTAAGTATATATATATATAATTGATTTCAGAGAGGAGAGAGAGAAACATCAATGATAAGACAGAATCATTGATTGGCCGCCTCCTGCACGCCCCCTACTGGGGATCAAGCCCACAACCCCGGCATTTGCCCTTGACCAGAATCAAACTGGGACCCTTCAGTCTGCAGGCCTATCCACGGAGCCAGACACCTTTTATATTTATGTGCTAGAGCCCTAGCCTGTTTGGCTCAGTGGATAGAGCATCGGCCTGTGGACCAAAGGGTCCCAGGTTCAATCCCGGTCAAGGACACATACCTTGGTTGCAGGCTCCTTGGGTCCTGGCCCTGGTTGGAGGCAGCCAATCAATGTGTTTCTCTCACATCAATGTTTCTCTCTGTCTTTCCCTCTCTCCTCCACTCTCCCTAAAAATCAATGGAAAAATATCCTCGGGTGAGGATTAACAAAAAATATATATATTTATGTGCTGGAGCTAGGTTTGAACCCACCCTCTGCTGTCTTTCAATAATGCCGTTTCACGAGGAAGGTAGGGGATATCTGGGTGGAGGCCTAGAAAAGGCAGATTCCTGAGTGGAACCATATGGGCAGGTGAGGTTCCAGCCCCGCCCAGGTGATCCAACTGAAGCCCTGGAGACCAGACCAAGTTCTATGGGTTCTGCTACTTCCTCTCATCCCAGGCTCTGATCGGGCGAAGAAGGCAGCATCGCCCTGGGAAGGATGGATAAGGACGGTAAGTGGGGCTGGAGGCAGGGTGGAGCCAGAGGACAGGGTATCTTGACTACAGGGTGGACCAACCAGCTCATCACCATGGTAACCCCAGAGTAGAAGTCCAGCCTTTTTAAGGTTATACCCATCCAGGTACAAACCCTCTCTTTTCTCTTTCCTGAATATTCTTGGTATCTGCTCCTTCTTTACCTCCTGCGATTCGGACTTTTGTCTTCTCTTGCCTGGACCACAGTGGGTCTCCCTCTGTCAGTTCTGCGCGAGTCCCTGCATCAGGACATTCAGTGGCTCCCAGTGCTGAAGGGCTGTGGCCTTTGGTGTTTAGTGAGCGCGGTGGGATGGGGATGGAAGGGACACAGTGATACAGTCCAAACACATGAGTTTAGCTCTGGACCCTTTGCTAAATGCCTCTGTGAACTTCATAGGCAACCAACGTCCAAACTCCATGGGCCGGCACCCGAAGTCCCAACCTTTCTTTCCAGTGCCCCCTCCTCCTGCAAAGTCCCCAGCAGCCCCTCTGGCTGTGCAGTGGGTCTGGCCTTTCACAACCACAAAGCTCCAAGAACAGGCAGAATCTCTGCAGCAACTTTTCTTGGAAGGTTTCCAAAAACCTTAGATGAAATTCGCAGGCCCCTCCGTGACCTACCTCATCCCTCACCCAGCTGAGGGGGTTGTGAAGATGAAGGGACACGATGTATGAAGAGAGTCTAGGGTGGTGATTGCATGTAATTGGTGCTTGATACATGTGAGCTAGAATGCTAATGTGATTAGGATCCCCCTTTGTCTCCAACCTCTGTAGGTTAGGCAGGCATCGATGGCAAGTCGTCTTCACCTCTCCAGGGCAAACCCCAGAAGTTGTGCCTCCTCTGTCACCCTCCCCCTTCTCATGACAAGGCTGGCTCCCCGGGGCCAGCTGCCCGCAGGGCACACCAGGGTGCTGGGCTAGTGTTTGCTGCTGAGGGTGGACACCCCCTGCACCCCCGTCAGCCAGGTTGCTTTCCATGTCAGCCCAGGAACTTCCTGCCCGCAAGGGCCACTGCTTAGAGTCGAACAAAGACATCAGCAAGAGGGGTCAGTGGCGGTTGAATCTGGCTGGCAATTGGGGTCATGCCTGGAAGGAGGAAGACACACTTTTTCCTAACCGGTCTGCCCATTGGAGGCCCCGTTTTCTAATCATACGAGGTGCTGTGTGCCCACTGCCCACCCACCCTCCACAGGCGATGCTGGGCTCCCTTAAGGCCAGGCCCGCTTGGAAGAAGGAAGTCCCATCTAGAAAACAAAACGTAAACAGCCACGCGTTGGGATTCCAGCCAGTACACCATGTTTATTGATGGCCACGGACCAGCACCCACCCTAGAGCCAGTTAGAGAGAAGGCGATGAGCCCTCACTGGTGCCAGGTTCGGAACTCTCCTGGCTGCCTCCTGTTCATTGCTTCCCGCTGGCCAAGCCCGCGTGGGCGCCTGGCACTCGGCGATCTCACACCTGCCTCACATCAACCCTGAAAGAGGCACTACTCTCCCATTTCACAGACGAGCAAACGGCCTGTCTCAATCCTCAGTCCCAGGAAGCGCAGACACCGGGGCAATCAGGTGGGGTGGGGGGTGCAGCCAGGCAGACCCCGGCCTGGCCCGGGAATCCTGGACGCGCTAACTTTCTCTTGGAGTCCTGCTGGCTCCTGCGTACGCACCATCCTTGAGGTGCCTTTTTCGGGGAGGTGGGGGTGGGGAAGAGTGGGGTTGTGGGCACAAGAGTCAGGGTACGACCTTCTCTCCTCCCGCCCGCAGGCGTGAAGACCCCCTTGTGGAAGAAGGAGCCGGAGGAGCCGGGGGTCCGGGAGGAGGAGGCGGAGGAGGAGGGGTCGGAGGAGGAAGACGAGGGGAGGCAGCCGCCGGAGAGTGCGGCCGCGGGCGAGGCGGAGCGGCGGGAGGCGGAGGACGCCGAGGGCCGCGGGGGGAGCGTGGCCTACAGCCCGCTGCGCCAGGAGCCCAGCGCCCAGCAGGTGGCGCTGCTGCGGCGCGCGGACAGCGGCTTCTGGGGCTGGCTCCTGCCCTTGGCCTTGCTCCGCGGCCCCGCGGCCCCGGCGGACAGGTGAGGGCGGGCGCGCCCCGGGACCCGGCGGGCGGGGCCGGCGCGGCGCCCTGAGCGTCCGGGTGTCCGCCCGCAGGAGGCGGAACCTCCCGGAGGAGCCGTGTGTGCTGCAGACCCAGGGGCCGCCACCGAGCGGCGGGGGTTGCGAGCTCTGCGAGATCCTCTTTTGCAAGAAATGCAGGACCCTGCACAGCAACCCGGCCTACGTAGCGCACTGCATTCTGGAGCACCCGGATCTGGGTGAGGCGCGGGCTTCGGGCGGGGCGGGGGTTGCCGGGGGCCCCCGGAGCGCCCCCACTTAACGCCTCTGTGCCCCCCATCCTCTCCTGACCCCTGACTCCCCGCAGCTTTCTCCTGTCCCTGACGCTGAGCGCTCTCAGCACATCCCAGAGCTGCCCCTGCTCAGAGCCGCGCTCCCAGAGCGCCCCCCGCGGGCAAGCAGGCCCACCGTCCATGTGACGGTGCCACCAGTCATCTGTCGCCCACCCAATGCAGAGCCCCGGTCACCTGGAGCTCCATTCCTCCCATAGTGCCCCGGGGGCCCCCATCCCCTGGCATCACCCAGTGCCTGCTGGCCACCCTGGCAGAGCCTCACATTCATCTCTTGGGTATTTCAGGTTCTTCGGGCATCGCCCCCTAGAGAACCTAACCTCCGGGTTCCCTGCCCCCTCTGAGAAACCTGCTCTTTCCCTCAAATCAGTCAATAAAGCTGCAAGCAAAGTGTCAGTGCCTTGAGGCGGGAGCGAGGAGGCCCTGGTGAGGATGGTGAAGGTGACCCGCCTTCCCTTCTGCAGAAGTTCAAGCCGGAGGGAAACGGGCAGGCGTAGAGCCTCCTCCCTCCGCCTCCCCAAGGACTGGGCGGAGCAAAAACACAGGCACCCAAGGGCAGTCAAAGGTCATTTTCCCCGCTGCGCAGAGGAAAAAATGAAGGCACAGGGCCAGGAATGCCCGTGGGAAGCTGAGGGCTGCACTTTGCCAAACCATTCTCCCAGTCCCCTGGAGCCCCGGTCTGGCTGAGGTCAATGTGCGGAGGGCCCTGGGGGTGCAAATGCGCCCCGGCAGGGGGGAGGGGGGAGGGTCAGAGCCAGATGCTAAAGCCCTGAGGCTGGCTGAGGCCGAAGGCAGAGTGCCAGGGGGAGCTGGTTCCTTCTGTAGGAATCCCAGCTATTCCCGACCAGCCAGGAGGAGCGCCTGGAATGCTGTGTGTGTGGCCTGGAGGATGGAGCCACTGTGAACCCAAGCCTCCCCCAGCCTGCAGAGCCCCCAGCGCCTGCGGGCAGCAGTGAGGCCCCCCAGAGAGGCCCCTGCCCTCCCCCTGCCACAGGGGCTTCTCCATCTGGCCTGAGTGGGGAGGGGAGGGGACAAGGACATTTAGCTTTTTGAGGAGAGGTAGGCTTCCTCTTCCCATCACACACACACACACACACACTCACTCACTCTCTCACACACAGCCTGCCGGTCCTGGCTTGATCAGAAGAAAGAACAGTCTCCATCTCACCAGCATCCATGCCCACCTGCTCTCCCTGGAAGCTTTTCCAGAGAAGGCTGGTTTGTGCCTCCAGGCCCACCAGCTGGGGACCCCTCTATTCCAGCCTCCCACAAAGAGCTGCACTACATCTGTCTCCCTCCTACTCTGGGTCCTGACCCCACTCAGGGCCTCGAGGTGGGAGACCCTCGTACCCAACCCATCCAGGCTTTCTGGGGACGGGGCCTCTGTTAAATATGACACAATTCTCCAAGAACTGAGCCGGAAGGTCCTCAGGGGAAGGCAACAGTCTTGCAAAGTGGTCCCAATCTCTCTGCTGAGATTTGCATCCTCCCTGTTGCCCAGTGCTGCTGCCTCATAGACAGGACCTGCACCTTTAGCAGAAAAAACAAAATCCCCAGGCCCAAGGGAAGGAAGGGTCCTTGGGGAAAAGGCTGTGGAGTCTGGGACCCTTTTTGGCTTCTCCTGGGGTTGATCCCGGCCCCACTTCCATGTCCTGGGGAACAGCGCCCAGACAATGAGAGCCACATTCTCCAGGGAACAAACGCAGACCAGCTTCTCTGCTGGGTCTTTTGCAGGGGGGCTCAGAGGCTTCCAAGACAGGCTCTGCCCCTGGGGCAGGGGACACACGTTGGCCATGAGAGCACCCAATGTTCACTATGAGGTGGGGGTGCCTTCAGAACAGGGCGCCCCCCGAGTTCACATGCCAGCAGCCCATCCAGGGCAGCTCTGCGGCCCAGCGGCCCGAGGCAGTCACCCGCAGTTTGGTCTGATCCAGGTGCCAGTAGCGGTCATCCCTGAAGAATATGACGGAGCCATCTGGCTGGGGCAGGGCACCACTGACCTCTTCAGGGACACCACCCCAGTCCTGCAGGCCTCGGGGGTAATAGGGTTCCACCTGCAGCCCCCCTGGGGCCAGCACATAGTAGCGGGCACCCTTGAAGAGGACGAGGCGGCTCAGAGGAGGAAAGAAGAGGGCTGCGTCCGGGTGGCGAGGCAGGCCTCCTGCCCGGCACAGCTGTAGAGAGCCCCACACTGGCTTGGGGCCCCGAAACCTCCAGCATCGGCTCCCTGCAGGGCATTGGGAGAGCCAGGGTGAGCTGGCAGCTCTCACCCTTTGGGCCTCCACCCCAACTCCGTCCCCCTGTACCTCTGTTCCTTCTTGCGTTGGAGCCCAAGGTGGTTAGTACTTGTGATAAAATGGATCATACTAATATTTGGTTATGAACCCTAGGGCTTCCAGCAGGTGTCAGCAGAGGGCAGATAGCGCTAAAGGAACATGTCTAGCCCCTCCCTGGGTAGCAGGGGGCACTCTCCCTGGGTGAGGACTGGGCTCCAGGGAAGGCCAGGGGCTTTCTTCACTGCCATGACTCCCAACAGTTCTAGGAGGGCAGGGAGTTTTGTTCACGACTGTATCCCAACGCCTCCAACCGAGTCCAGGCCATAGAAGGCACTCAATACTTGTTGAATGAATGAATGAATGAATGAACACTGTTTACTGAAGTAACATACTGCACACTGCTCAGACAGTATGTTCTTTTCATCCTTCTTCCCCAACAAACCTGAGGGATTGTGTTCCCCATTCAAAAAATTCAAGCTCCAAGAATTAAGTGACACGCCCAACCTCCTGCAGCCAGGATTCCAAGGAAGGCAGGACTTGGCAGAATCACAGAGGTCAGGAGTGGTCCTCTCTTCCCTAGAGCAAGCATGTCAGACTTGCCAGCTGCGGAGTTTGACATGCTTGCTCTAGAGTCTTCTCTGGGATTCTCCCACCCTCTCCCTCTAGAACAGTGATGGCGAACCTATGACATGCGTGTCAGAGGTGACACGTGAACTCATTTTTTTGGTTGATTTTTTCTTTGTTAAATGGCATTTAAATATATAAAATAAATATCAAAAATATGTCTTTGTTTTACTATGGTTGCAAATATCAAAAAATTTCTATATGTGACACGGCACCAGAGTTAAGTTAGGGTTTTTCAAAATGCTGACACACCGAGCTCAAAAGGTTCGCCATCACTGCCCTAGAACAACCTGGACACCGCCCTCCCCAATCCACCACTAAAGGAATCTCCTGGTAGAGTGGCCCAGGCCACAGTTGGGATTGGAATGGAGGTGCCTCCCCTCTTTTGACCTTGGGCAGGACATCTTTCCTCTGTAGGTCTCAATGTTCTCATCTGCCCCAGGGTTGGTACCTTTGAAGAAGTAGAAGTCTCCATTCTCCAGTGACACTGCGGCAGCCTCAATGTTGGGGGGCAGCCCGGCCCACCTTTCCTGCAGCGGGTGGGGCTCTGAGACATTGCCATCAGCTCCCACCTCCCAGAAGTGGCTCCCTTGAAAAATGTACAGTCGCTGCTGCCTGTCTGCCCAGAGAGACGAGAGAGAGTTGAGCAGTGACCACCCGTCTCCTGCCTTCCTTCCAGGGAAGGTGCATTCCTAGAACCCAGCCTCCCAAGCTGACCAGAGAGGATGCAGCGGGCACAGTTGGGGCGGAAGGAGAAAGTAGTGTTTTGCTTGGCGTGGGCTTGCTACCTTGCAGAATCCCTGTGGCTGGAATTTCTGGATTTTATCATTTATACTCCCCCTTGAACTCCAGCTCTGGAGACCCCTGAAATGTGGGGAGGAGAAGCAATGCATGGGTGGAACCATCTTACCTACAGTGATGGCATCAAAGGAAGAGTGGCAATATTTAGGACCTTGGGTTTCGGGGCGCCTTCCCTGGGATCTGTGGGGGTCCCAGGCCTCAAAGTCAGTGAACAGCTTTCCTGGGAGCTGGGTAGTCACAGAGCCGCCCTGGGGCTTCCCTGCATGGGGGAGGGAAGAGGGGAAGAGCACACAGTGGTTAGGAGGGTGTTGCGGGCCCAAGACCTCCCCCTTGGTTCCTTTCATCATTATCTGATGTGAGGGGCTGGGAAGGAGAGCAGGGGTAGGGTAAAGAATTGTCTTTGGTTGTGGGTGTTAACCATAGCACTAAACTCAGAAGCCCTCGCTCCTATCACACAGTCAAAATTGCAGCGGGGACTAAACAAGGGTTTGGAACTAAGGAGTGCAGCGTGTACTCTCTCTGAGTCTTGGACAAAGCAGGTGGCGTGCAGGCAGAGTTCAGGGGCCCAAGCTGTGTTAATTGCGGCTCTGAAGATAATTACAACAGGACACTGACGAGAGGGAGGCAGAGTCCAATCAGCTTAGAATTTGGCACCAGCTCCTGAATCCTGGTCTGCAACTCCCTAGCTGTGTGACCTAGGGCAAGTTACCTAACCTCTCTTACCCGGTTCTCCTCCTCTGTGGACAAAAAGATACTTACCTCGTGTGTTTTGTGTGTTAAGTGCCTGGTCCACGGTAGACCCTCGTGAAATAGCAGCTGTTATGATTACGTTTGTGTAGGTTTCTTAGGCTACAAAGCATGCGCATACTCACTAGTACAGCAGCCTTGTGAGGTAAGCAGGACCTCAATTATTATCCATTCTCTCAGAAGGTAAAACTGAAGGCTCTCAGGGGGGAAATGCTTTGCTCAAGAGCAACTGCTAGTCAGGAATGGAACAGAGACTTGAACCCAGGGCTCCTGGCCCTGCCCACCGCACCACGCACTCTGAGGGGGGCAGCCCAGGCATCGAGGGCCTGAGGTCCAGGCAGGTCACTGGGCAGCAGCGCCAGCGAGTTCATTATGGGGGAGATCTTTCTGAGTCCAAGCTTGGGGGGAAGTGGGCATCAGCGTCATGGAGGGGGAAGGTTAGGGGATAGAGCAGTGGTTCCCAACATGGGGCACACGCCCTCTGGGGGGGTGATTTGATTTTTTAGGGGAGCAATTCAAGAATGAGTTATTAACCATGATTTTTTTATGGTTCTAGGGGCCTTATATACAGTATATTAATATATATTGTGACATATTTATGCATTTCAGTTCTCTATGATATGTTTTGAAATTTTATTGCTATTTTTTTCATATCACTTCTTTTTTCAAAAAAACCAATTTCTTAGTGATCTCTTCCTCAGTACATCAATTGTCCTTTCATTCTTTTTTCTCTTTCATGGATGCCATGTTCTTTGGAAGTTTGTTTAGACCAAGTTAATGCCCTTTTAGGCTTCCTCCACGTGAACAGGAGTTCACTTTTTGAATAATAAGAATTATATGTCATGGGGTGGGTGGGCATCAGGGTTTTAGAGATGCTGAGGTGGGGCATGGCCAAAAAAAGGTTGGGAACCACTGGGCTAGAGGGAAATCGCAGCTGGGAGCCGGGATGAGGGCTCTGGGGTATGGGGTCGGGGGAGAGGCGAGTCTGAGGACTGGGTCTGGGTGATGGGGCAGGACTGTGCCCAGGAGTTCGTTGGGGTTGATCAAGGGCAAGCACGGGGGAGAGGGGGTAATAGTTTGAGGTTTTGCAGATCTCAGGAGCCTAAGGATTTGGAAGGGCCCGTGATGGGGAGGCCAGATGCCTGCGCTTAGGATGGGAGATCCCTTTGAGGAGCCCACGCGCTGCAGGCAAGGGCGGGACCGGGGCCGGGGCCGGGGGCCGGGGGCGGGGGCTCACCATACAGGCTCTGCACGGCCAGCACGTCGTCCCAGCTGAGCAGCGCGTCGCGGCCCAGCCGCTTGTAGTAGGGCGCCATGAGCGCGCGCGGCGCGGGCGAGTGGGTGAGGCCGAGCGTGTGGCCGATCTCGTGCGCCAGCACCACGAACAGGTTGCGCCCGCGGCGGCGGCTCAGGGACCAGCGCTCGTCCTGGTCGAAGTGCGCTTCGCCTCGGCGAGGCAGGAAGGCGTGCGCCAGGGCGCCCCCTGCAGGCGGCGCGGAGGGTCAGGGGGCGCCCCCGCCCGCGACGCCCCCGCGTGCCCACCGCCCAACGCCCACGCCATTGGAGTGTGCGGCTGTTTTCTGCTGCTTAATTTCCCTCCCAATTCAGTCCGCAGACGCTGAAGTGTGGAGCGGTGACCCCAGGACAGCTGTGGCGTATGGACGCTAGGGGGCAGAGCGGTGCACATACTGCTTGGGGTCAAACTGCCTGGGTTCCAACCCTGGTTTTACCATTTACTAGCGGAGTGACCCTGGGCAGGTCTCTCAACCCCTCTGTGCCTGATCTTCCTGACCTGAAAACAGGAGCGATGACCATGAAGTTCTTCCTCACAGGGTTTTTCTGAGGATTAAAAAGAGGTGTGTGTATGTATGTGTGTCTGTGTTCCATACACCCAGTGCCTAGCATATGATAAATGCTATATAGTTACTCCTTTTTAACAGGTCTTGGAGTAGGTACAGTGGTTACCCCAGAATGGAGCACGATGGGACCGGGTGGGGTGTTGGTAATGTTTTTTGATCTGGGCACTGGGTGTGTTGATGTGTATGCGTAGTTTCTTTAATAAAAAGTATATGTATTCTTGCCCGGCTTGTGTGGCTCAGTGGTTGAGCACCGACCCATGAACCAGGAGATGATGGTTCGATTCCCAGTCAGGGCATAAGCATGGGTTGTGGGCTTGGTTCCCAGTAGGGGGCGTGCAGGAGGCAGCCAATCAGTGATTCTCTCTTATCATTGATGTTTCTGTCTCTGTCTCCCTCTCCCTTCCTCTCTTTGAAGAAAAAAAAAGTGTATTCTTGTGTCCTCGCCTTCCCTCTGCCAGGGCCCTCTGTGGGTCTCTACCTCCCTGCTAGAACAGGAGCGAGCAGAGGAATTGGGCTGGACCAGTGATGCTCAAGCGTAGGGTGCCCCAGATTTAGCTTATCAGCCATGCGGTTCCCAGGGCCCCACCCTCACAAGTCACTTTCTGCAGGGGCAGGGGCAGGGGCAGGGGCAGGGGCAGCAAACCGCACTGTGATAATGTTGGCCTAGAACCTGTGCAGGGTCCTGCCAGTGCTGCTGTCTTGGAGCCCAGCCCAACTGGGACGGACACAGGTCGGGAGGCTAATGTTAGGGGGAGCCTCGTGGGCATGGAGAGATGGCCCCGTCCGTGTAGGAAGGACACATGCCTCCCTATTTTGAATGTGCTCTGAACGTTTCTGAGCAATGTTCCCCTTTCCATTCAACTCTTGCAATGATCTTGGGAGACTGATGGGGAGGTTTGTGACTAAACTCAACAAGATAAAGCACCCGTCCCACATCAGAGAGCTGCCTCCCAGTCTAGCGCTGTCTTAGCTACCAGACTCCACCTGGGGACGGATAGAAGCATCTCATGTGGATATCGTGGATGAAATGAATTATATGCAAGCATGTGTGTGTCCTACAGGTGGATTCTCAAAAAGCCGAGATTTCTGCCAGCCCTACCCTGGTCCAGGCAGCGGGGCCTGGAAGCGGCTTTGCTCTGAGTGGGATTGTTGGAAAGCAGGAGAGTGCAAGGGAGTAGGGGCCCAAGTTCTGAGGCCACACAGGGCGTAAGTCCCCACCTGAAGCGGTTTGACCAGGTTTCCTGACTCCTTAGCGCAGGGGGATTGGGAGGATGCAGAGACAGCCTGCACGCAGGCTCTGCAGGCCAGTGTTGGGCAGAATGGGGGGACAGCAGTGTAAACCACAGCTGGAAGACTTCAGGTTGGGGGCAAACAGGAGGCCCGTCTGGGCGGTGGGCATATGAAGAGCTTCTGTAGCAGGTAGCAGGTAGAATGCCTCTTGCTCTGAGGCAGTGACTGTGACAGTGGCTTGGGGGAGGGCAGTGGTGGCCTCGGCACGTTTTTAGGACCCTGGTCTGGAGGACAGGAGAGGCACGGGCTTGTCTAGAGGCAGGGGATGGATGAGGGGTCTTCAGAAGGTTCTCCCCGAAAGGATAATGCTCTTTAGAGTTTACAAGGCACTTTCCCTGAAGAACCTCATCTGACCATCCCAACAGCCACATGGCACAAAATCGGGCAGGTCCTGTTCCCATGTGATAGATGAGGAGACTGAGGGCTCTTTGGAGGGCGATGCAGCTTGGGCAAGGCCACAGGGAGAGCGAATGCTCCATTGCCCTCCACAGGAGGCCTCTCCTAGCGGGGTCCCCCTCCTGCCATGTGGAAGAGAGGCTGTCAGCACCTGGGCCGTCGAAGGCGTTGCTTAGCCCGTCATTGTGGTCCCCTTGGAAGAAGGTGAGGCGGATGTCAGCAGGGCCTGTGGCTGGGGCCTCCCAGAACTCCAGCGCCGAGACGTTGCTCCACAGCTGGAAGGCGGCACGCACGGCCCCCCGAACTGCAGGCTCGGGCAGGTGCTGAGGCCAGTTCACCAGGCGGTAGGAGAGGTGTTGCTTGTACCACTTGTTGCCTGCCACCCAGAGAGGCCACATCAGAGCCTGGGGCTGGTCCCCTGGGCAGCACGTATGATAGGGAGATAGGCCTTCCCCAAGGAGCCCATGATCTGGCGGGAAAGACATAGCCCTTTTCTTGGGAAGGCCCTCATTTGGCTGGGGAGACCCTCCTCTCAGACAGATGGGCCTACCCTGTCCTGGAGAGTCCCAGTCTCCTGGGTTGGCTTAAGGAGGTCCCTTAGGACCTTGGCCCAGCTGCATCAGCCTCCAAAATAGAATGGGGGAGATGCAGCCTCTGCCCAGGAAAACCCCCACTCCGGGGGACCCTCTGGTCTGGGGTCTCCTTCCGCACAGCCTGGGCCGAGCCTGGAAATCCACTCTGCGCCTCCTGCTGGCGGCAAATCCCAGCCCCTGACAACTGTGCCGGGTGGAGGAGAGGTAGAGCCACGGGGTCACAGCCCTCCCTGCCCTCTCTGCCCCCTCCCCCTCTCCAGCCCTCACACGCTCCTGCTGCCTCCCTTCCTAGTGCCTGGGGCCTGCCCTGAGTAGCCATCACAAGACCCATTTATTTGAGGTCCCTCCCTGATCCCTGGCCCTCCCGCTCACTTCCTCAGGGACTCCCGAGGGCTCTGAGGTGAAAACAAATAAGAACAAAGGGTGTGTTTTGTCACTGACCGAGAGCAATTTCTCCATCTCCACTCAGTTAAGCGTTTCTGTTCCTCTGCCCAGAACCGCAGAGTTCCTCCCTGAGGGTTGAGACTCGGGTCTCTGGCCGAGCCCCAGGTCAACTAGTCTGGGTCCAGCGCCAGCTCACCACACACCCAGGGCCAGGACCAGGACCAGGGTGCTTCGAAGGCCCGAGCTCTGAGTTTTCCTGAGCTATTTCTGAGCTCTGCACGCTCAGGGACTGTGACGGGCGGGAGACTCACTGCTTGGAGGCAGGACTCTGGGCTCGGGAGCACACAGAGTCATGTCTTTTGGGCCTCAGTTTCCCAAATGGACCAAATCCCTGGGGCCTGGGTGACAGCGGGCAGGGCAGGTTTGGCTATGCTGGGACACCAGGTGAATGGGCACAGCCTCCTCTCCCCTCGAGGGCGGGGCAGTTGAAGGTCCAGGCCTCCTGCCCCTTTGTCCCAGGGAGATCCTGGCAAGAGGAGTGAAGTCGTGGGGGTTCAGCCATCTCCTGAGTCAACCTCTCCTCTATTTGGGGCTCTGAGACCAAGGGAGGAACTGCCCCCAGGGTCACACACTGAGTAGGAGCCCAGGCCCTGACACCTAATTCAGTGCATTTTCCATTCTGCGTGGATAAGCAGACACGTTCGAGGCTTATAAATGTGCCTGCACGCGTCACTCCTCTGGTCAGAACAGGGGCTCTGCGAGAGCTCGCATTCTCTGGATGGAAGGAGGGTCACAGAGGGCAGAGGAGTTGAGCACCCTTTCCCTCTCCCCATCCCCTGTGGAAGTGGGGGAGGGGAATGTCCCTTCTCCCACCCCTGAGCCAAGCTCCATTCAAGGCAATGCTGCCTCCTGGGCCTGTTTGGCCTGGCAGCCACCCAACCCCTCCCAGGCAGTGACCAACCCTCGGGGAGGGAGAGGGAAGGACTCGAAGGGAGGGGAGGCCTGGCATCCAGAAGCACTGCCACTAGCACTTCTAGTGCATTGCAAGTGGGCACTGGGCACTGGGTGGGTGGGTGGGGGTGGGGAGCTGGCGTTGGGCTCTTTCACACCCTGTGATGGGTAACCAACCCCAGACTCCCTCTCCCCACCCCCAACCTTCAGGCTCCTAGAAAACTGTGAAGCAGCTCCTTCAGCCTTTGTAGCTAGGGTGCCCCTCACCCCAAAGACAGGGAACAAGGAGGGGGGCAATTCTCTCACTCTAGGTGGTCAATAAAGGTGACAGCGTGAAGGATAAAAGGATAAAAATCCTCTGTGCAGCTGAGGGGTGGGCAGGGAATAGGGAGACAACTAGGAACAGGAATTGGGAGAAAATGACCAATTTTCCTTGCGGGCGAGCAGGGTGGTAGGTTGTTGGTGTGCCTGCCAGAAAGGAAGGAACTGCAGAGCCAGCAGCCTGAGCCCTGTCCCCTGTCTTCTTCCAGATTTGTGTCTTTGGAGCAGGCAGGCCCCATCCCAAATGCCTGGCTTGTTTCCATGGCAACCCCCAGGCCACCGTAGCACCTGGCATTGCACCCCACACCCTTGATCTAAAATCTAAAAGGGGTCCTGACTGGTGTGGATCAGTTGGTTGGAGCATCATCCCGTACAACAAAAGGTCTTTGGTTGGATTCCTGGTAAGGGCACATACGCAGGTTTTGGGTTTGATCCCTGGTTGGGGTGGGTACGGGAGGCAATCGATCGATGTTTCTCTCTCACATCAAAGTTTCTCTCTCTCTCTCTCTCCCCCCCTCCCTTCCTCTCTCTCTCTAAAGTCAATAAAAACATATCCTCGGTGAGGATTTAAAAAAATAGATTAAAAAAAAAATACCAGAAGGGAAGAGAAAAGGAAAAAGAGCTGGGGAGGGAGGAGGGCTAGATTCCTTGCTTGGGCAGGACCCGAGCTAGAGTCCTGACTCCCAGCAGCAAACTGCTACTGTGGGGAGAACACGGGTTGGAATCTCAGTACCGTTGCTTACAACCTTACACAGCAAACGACAGAATCCTCCAAGCCTCAGTTTCCTTACTTGCAAAGTAGAAATGAAACAGCAGCCGAAGCTGCCCGGCACGTGCTGGGTGCTCAGTAGTTACCCATTCCCTCCTTCCTTTTCCACCCCATTCCCACCCCTGTGCTCCCCACCCCACCAGCTCTGTGAGGGGGCAGGGCACTGAAAATCAGCCCTGCAGGGGCCGCGGGGAGCAGGCGCTTGGAATAAGGTTGCCAGATTTAGCAAATGAGAATACGGAATGCCCGGTTAAACCTGAGCTTCAGGTCAACAGGTAATTATTTTAGTATAAGGATGTAAAAACAAAACAATTATTTGCTGTTGATCTGAAACTGAAATTCAACTGGGAATCCTGCATTTTATCTGGCAATCCGACCCTGGAGCCCAGCTCCATCGGCACAGCGTTCGCCCACATAATGAAAAGTCACTGGCTTCGGAATCCATAAAATGTTTAAAGCACCTACCCATATTCTGGGTTTTTCCACTCATTTTTAAAGCGCCTACCCATATTCTGGGGTTTTCCACATCTGGAAGCTCACTTAATCCTCCAATGACAAGAAGGCTTGGCTACACGCTGGCTATTTGGCCCTGGGAAAGTTGCCTAAGCTCTTTGTCCATCAGCTTGCCCACCTGTAGGTGAGGATAATAATGGTACCGATCTCATAAGGTTGTTACGGGAGAAAATGAGTTAATCTGTTCACAACTCTGCTTGGCACATCATCAGTGCTCAATAGGTGTTAGCTGTTACTATTATATTTTCTTTCCTAAGGCTTAGGAAGTGCTCAGTGCCTGCCAAACCTACAACTTCCTTCTAGGGAATATCTTCCCACCCAGGAGGGAAGGGAAGTGAAGTCATGTTGTGACCGAGAGGGAAATTCTCTGTGTAACCCGGCCACTGCCTGGACCAGGGGTCAGACAAGGAAACGGGGCTAGGCTGGCGGGGGGAAGCCACCTGCCTGAGACCTGCCTCCGCCCAAATCTCTGTCTAAAAGGGAGGCTCCAGATTGGAAAGTGAAGGACAGACACTCCATCAGATTCTCCCTTGGGGTATGAGAAGATGAGGTGCTGCTGGAAGGAAGCATCCTGGGTGCTCAGGTCATGCCCTGAACATCCAGGAGGCATTGTCCCAAATCTCCATGGAATCTAGCCTGGAAGTGCTGCTGCCGAGTCTGTGTCTGGGGCTGCTCCCTTTTCCGCTGTATTCTCACAATCCTCCGCCACCCCCCACCCCCCCTTTAAAACTGATTTTAAAGAGAGAAGAAGGGAATGGGAGAGAGAGAAACATCAATGTGAGAGTGGAACCTTGATCAGCTGCCTCCTGCAGACCCCCTGCTGGGAATCCAGCCTGAAACCCGGGCATGTGCCCTGACAGGGAATCCAACCTGTCCCCTTTCAATATATGGGATGACGCACCAACCAACTGAGCCACACTGGCCAGGGCGAGCCCTTCTCCTTGGTTGCCAGGGCTCATCTCTCCTTTGTAACCTAAAAGGGCCCGTGACTCAGATGAGGAAACAGCAAGGTGACTCAGGTCACACAGCTGAACCCAGAGCCCGACTCTTCCTGCTCTACCAGGACCTCCTGTACTCATGCCTGGTTCTTCTCCTCTGCTGCCCAGGACACAGTGTCAGCACTGGGGACCCGGGGCAGCTGGGAGTGTAGACACAGCTGAACTGGATTGGCGAATACCTGGAAATGGTCATCCTCCAACAGCTGAGGGGAAATGCCCTCAATTTCCTTTTGGATTAGCTAAGAAATAAAAACAAACTATGTGCCTTCTGTCCTAGTTCCTAGTGCATATTGTTGGTAAAGGTAGTTAATGCAAATTCAAAGAGACCATAGCCCCAAGGGCTCACAGTAAAATTCATTACAGGTAAAAAGCTGACTAAACAACCCCACTTTGTTAGGAATCTTGAAAATTGCAGAAGTTGATCAGAGAAAATTAGACTTAGTAAAAACAATCACAATGTTAAAACCACACATGGCAAAACTTGTTACTGATGAAGAATTGACAGAAGAATAAAATCTTTATAAATCTTAGATCAGTAACCTTTGACCCTGGAAGACTGGATTTGGCCAAAGAAGGAGGAAGAAGTGAAGGGAAGAAAAAAAACCTACAACTAAATCAAAACAGGAGGAATGTGTTATGATGAAATGTTCAGAATAGGCAAATCCATAGAGACAGAAAGTAGATTCATGGTTGCTAGGGGCTGGGGGAGGGGGCGTGGGGAGTGCCCGCTCATGGGCATGGGGTTTCTGTTTGAGGTGATGAAAATGTTCTGCAATTAGACTGTGATGATGGTTGCACAATTCTGCAAATATGCTAAAAGCCACTGGATTGTATGCTTTCAATGGGTGAATTGTACAGCATGTGAATTATATTTCAATCAAGCTGCTGAAAATGTAGTATGGACAAAATCAAACCCATCGATGAATCCCATCTTTGTTGGATAATTCTTATGAAAAAGAACCGATTCTGATGAAAATAACTCCAGTAAAATAGAAAGAAAAGTGTTGGCAACAGTTTAACTGCCCTGCATAGTAAATTGACCAAGAAATTAAGTGGGCTCGATGGGGTTCGCTCTGGACAGTACTTGCAGGATGAAAAGTCATCAGCATAGGTATCATTCTGATGTAAATGTCTTTGTTCACAAACATGGTCCTCAAGTACCAGAGGTCCTATTTGTCCACTGTGCTCCCCTCCCCCACCCTAGGGAAGAGGTTATGACACAGCCCAGCCCGAGGTGGAGCCCTTTTTCTGGCCATGGGGCTTCAGGATGGTGGGGAATCCCATCCTCGCTAGATTGCCACAGTGCTCACCTTGCTTTGCAAAGCGTTTCTTACGCCTCATTTTGGCCCGGCGTCCAGTGAACAGAGCACTGACCTTCTCAGTCCGGGCTGCCTGGCTGTCAGTATCTGCAACCCCACAGCGGGGCAGTGTCATCTGGTGGAGGGTGGCAGGGTCCAGCACGCCACTGATGGGCAGCTGGGACACCCACTGGAACTCCCTGTCAGGAGGAAGTGAGATAAAGGACCACAAAGGGAGGGTGGGTGGTGAGAGCGGGGAGCTTCCCTGGATACAGCAGGAGGCTGGGGCAGGTGGGACTGGGGGTTTTGGGGGGGAACAATGGAGCATGGCCCCCTCAACACACATGGGGGCAGTCTTCCCCCAGGAGGGAGGAGATGCCCTAAGCTTATACCCAGCACTCCCAAACCCTCATAGCCCTCCATCCTACCTGATGGCATTGCTGAATCGCGTGGAGGAGGGAGCTTCGGGGGCCTGTTCACGGAGGTATCCATACCTCTCCAGGAATGCCTGGGGGAGAGAGGAGCATCAGCTTTTCCCACGGCCTGGCATCCTTTCCCTCCCTTGATCGCCAAGTGTCCATGGCACATACATCGCGCCTGGTCTCACCCTGTCCCAACAGGGTCTATGAGCTACAGCAGAAAGAGCCCTGGCATCAAAGTCAGGACCTGGACTTCGTCCCAGGCCACCAAGACTAGCGGATGGTCTTGAGCAAGTCACTCATTATTTTTGAACCTTAGCTTCTTTATTTCTAACACTGGCTATGCAGTCCCTTCCCTGAGTATCTCATGGCATTGTCAGAGGACAGTAGGGTTATGGGCTCTGGAGTCAGGCCTGCCTGGGTTCGAATCCCAGTTGGCAAGCTACTTTCCTAAATCACTGGTTTCTCAATTATAACATGGATTTACAATAGTACTACTTTACAGGTTGTGTGCATGTGTGTGTGAATGAATCACAACAGTAAATATAAAGTACTTACCATAGTACCTATCACCTAGCATGGGCTCCATGCAGAGTAGCTCTTATAATTTTATGTAAATATACGTTATCTATATGCCTCAACTCTTCTCCGGACACATGTCATCTCTTTAGGAACATTTCCGTATTGATCAGGAGTTGAGGTGATCGCCTGCAGGCTCTGCCAAGCATGGGTTGGGAATTAATCACCTAATTCTGGCTACTCCCTAAACAATTACCCTCCTCCCAAACGCAGATATATTTAAGAACAATGCCCTTACCTTCAACCCTATGGTTTATATGAAACCGTAACTCTCTAGAGAAGCACTTTTTGAATTCCAAACCTGCAACTTCCTTTCATTCATTTGTTTATTCATACAATGTACTAGGTACTTTGCCAGGTGCAATAGTCAACAAGACACTCTTGAAGGAACCTATATGTACACTGCGGACGGAGACAGACAATAAAAAGCCCAGATAACAAATAAAGGAGAAAGTTTGATGCTATAAAGAAAAGAAACCGGGTGATGTGATTGAGAACAACTCAGAAACTTGACATGAGCAGGTCAGGGAAGCCCCCTCTGAAGAGCTGATATTTGATGTGAGAATCCTAAAGAATGAGACATGCCTGGCTGGTGTGGCTCAGCAGTTGAGAGTTGACCCAGGAACCAGGCATGTGCCCTGACTGGGAATTGAACCGTGGCCTCCATGTTCATAGGTCATTGCTCAACCACTGAGCCACACCAGCCGGGCTATTTATTGACTTTGAGAAAGAGAGGGAAAGAGAGAGGGAGATGTGAGAGAGAAACATCAATCGTTGCCTTCTGTGGTGTACGGGATGACAGCCAGGGCCTTTGCTGCATTTCTTTCTTTTTTTTTTTTTTAAATATATTTTTTATTGATTTTTCACAGAGAGGAAGGGAGAGAGATAGAAAGTTAGAAACATCGATCAGCTGCCTCCTGCACATCCCCCACTGGGGATGTGCCCGCAACCCAGGCACATGCCCCTGACCAGAATCGAACCTGGGACCCTTCAGTCCGCAGTCCGACGCTCTATCCACTGAGCCAAACCGGTTTCGGCGTTTGCTGCATTTCTTAACTCAGATCAACTCCAATCATAGCTGCCTCAAGAAAAAGGCACATAATGGGAATGAAACTAGACACTGAGCCAGGGCCCGAAGCCCCTAACAAATATCCAGCCTCCTCTTTGTGGATTTCATTACACCCATCGTTAGCAACCTCCATGTCCTCTTCTCATTAAAGCCACTTTCCACAAGGAACCCTTATTCTAGACAACTGAATACTACCCAAGTCTGTTTTATTGTTCTGCACTAATTTATTAGGATTTCAGCCCGATTGTTTTTTATTCTCCCTTTGCACACGTACACTATTTTGGGATGCATAATGGATTAAAGGAGTTCTTGTGGCTTAATCTGGAAGACTATTTACTGCTCAAAATAGTGTGGCATCATGGAATAGCCCCTGGGCTTGGAATCCAGACTCTATTCCCAACCCTGACCCTGCTGGATGGCCAGGGACAAATTACGTCACCTCTCTGGGCCTCCATTTCCTCAGCCACAATGTGAGAACAAGGGTAACCCCCACAGGATTCTGAGAAGGATGACATAAAGCAGTGGGCATCCAACATCGTGCCCAGTATAGTTCATGCTCAATAAACAGTTTATCTAGCTGATTTAACTTACAGGGAAAATTAACAACAGACTTTTACTAGTAGAATGTAACCCATCTGTGAGATGGGAACTGCCCTGAAGAAGGCAGTTACACCTCCGTTCTCAGTTCAGGTGCTCCATCCCAGAATCGCCTCCCCCAGCCAGGTGCCTGGCTCTCTTCCTCGCCTCTTCCCGTTCCCCTGGTGAGGATGGAGAGAGCGGCTTTCTAAGAGAAGCCAGGGAATGAATGTCTCCGCAGAAGCAGTTTTGCTGAGTGAGTGATTTGGAAGAGACTGGGTCACAGGCCAACAGGCTGGCACACCCTGTGCCTCTTCCCCCAAACCCACCCAGCCCTTATCAGGGAGTTGGCTCCAGTTCTGGAACTATGAAACCTTGGACAGAGCGGGAGAGGGGAGGGGAAATTGACTAGCGGCGTCTCCTGTTTCCTGGCTGGGCCTGTGCCTGGTACTTTGGCAGGCAAGGTGGGGCGGAGGGCAGGAGGGGGGTGGAGGTATTTTCCAAGGGTCCACAGGAGGGGAAGTCCTTTCTCCTGACTGTCTCTGGGACCCTGTGGGTTGCCAGGCATAGCTGAATTCCCAGGAAGCAGTGAGCCTGTGTTCACACCAGCCAAAAGACACCAAAAGAATGAGAAAGAAATCTTAAGAATTTGACATTTTATATTTCCATAAAAGCCCTGAAGTATTATTATGGAGATTATCAGGACTTAAAAACTCCCTTATAGCCCTAGATGGTTTGGCTCAATGGATAGAGCATGGGCCTGTAGACCGAAGGGTTGCGGGTTCGATTCCCGTCAAGGGTACTGTACCTCCAATGTGGCCTCAATCCTGGCCCCAGTTGGGGCACATGCAGGAGGCAACCAATTGATGTGTCTCTCTCACATCGATGTTTCTCTGTCTCTACTGCTCCCTTCTACTCTCTCTTAAAAAAAAAATCAATGGGAAAATATCCTTGAGTGAAGATTAACAACAACAACAACAACAAAGAACTCTCTTATACTTACTTCATGTTTAATATACCTCTAATTAAAATGTTTTTAATTATAAGAAAGGGTCTCCTGAATGGTGTTAGAACTGAGTGCTCTGTAGTTCTATCGAGGAGGGCAGACCTATGTCCCTGGTGAGGAGGCAGGGTTGAGGCATCTCTGCTCCTGGAGCTGTCCCTAACCCATCTGCTGTGCCTCAGTTTCCCCCTGCGAAGGTGAGAGACACGTCCCTGTCTGCATCCGAGCAGGGTGTGGGGCAGAGGACACTGTGGCACAGGGACCCTGGGAAAGGGGGCAGGACTGAGAGGTGGAGCGCTCGTTTTCATCTCGGCTCGACACTAACCGCCTTGGAGAAGTCATTTCCCTTCCAGGCTGCAGTGTTCTTGGGGCCTGTGTCCTCTCAGGGACGCTCTGCGCTCCACCCGTGGTCTCCTGCTCCGCTTCATGGAGGTAGCACCTGGCCCGCTCCTCTCTGCCTGGCAATTCAAACACCAGGTTTTCTCTCTTCCCTGTTCTCCACCCATCCCATCCGAGGAGCCCACGGTTGGAGCTGAGTGGAGAGAAAGCCATAGGGCTGTGCCCCTGGGTGATTCACTTGCTTGGGTTTAAAAGCTGGTGCCAACCTGCCTCACCCTCTTGGTGGTGGCTGGAGCCACTTTCCTGGGAGTCACCTCTGGAAAGCCCTGGGAGTGGCTGGGATGTTTGTGTAAAACAAAAATGGTTCCCCCTGGAACCCAGAGAGCTCAGTGGAATCAGAGCTCTGGGGGTTCTAGTTCTGCATCCGTCCTGACTTGTCATGACAGGGTGTGTGGCTCCCAGCCCACTTGATGCCTGAGGGAAGGGGCGATTCTGGCCAGGGCAAGACTTGCAATAAGGTTTAGCAAAATGAATCCAGGGCTGAGTCAGGAACTCTGAGTCACTGGCCTGGCAGGACAAGAGTCCTGGGCTGAGTCTCATTTAAAAAATATATATATTTGTATTGATTTAAGAGAGGAAGAGGGAGAGAGAATCATTGATCAGCTGCCTCCTGCACGCCCCACTCTGGGGATCTAGTCCACAACCCGGGCACATGCCTGACTGGGAATTGAACCATGACCTCCAGGTTCACAGGTCGAGGCTCAACCCCTGAGCCACGTTGGTTGGGCTGAGTGTCTTGAATTTTATTCCTGGGGCTGCTGCTAGCTATGTGTCCGTGGGTAGGCCTGCCTTTTCTGGGCCTTAGTTCCCTCTTCTGTAAAATGAATGAGTTGGATCAGAGCTAAAATATACTCCAGGTCTGTCTATTATTGTAGCTTTACTTCTTTTTTTTTTTTTTAATATATTTTATTGATTTTTTACAGAGAGGAAGGGAGAGAGATAGAGAGCCAGAAACATCGATGGGAGAGAAACATCGATCAGCTGCCTCCTGCACACCCCCTACTGGGAATGTGCCCGCAACCCAGGTACATGCCCTTGACCGGAATCGAACCTGGGACCTTTCAGTCCGCAGGCCGACGCTCTATCCACTGAGCCAAACCGGTTTCGGCGATGTAGCTTTACTTCTGTGTGAACTATGACACGATTACTTAACCTCTCTGTGCCCCAAAGTCTAAAATGGGGTTAAGAATACCGCTTATGCTTCTCATAGGAGCATCATGAAAATCCAGTAAGAAGATGCTTTGGGATAATTGTCCCATTAAAAACATTATTTTCGCCCTAACCAGTTTGGCTCAGTGGATAGAGCGTCGGCCTGCGGACTGAAAGGTCCCAAGTTCGATTCTGGTCAAGGGCATGTACCTTGGTTGCGGGCACATCTTCCAGGAGGAGGTGTGAAGGAGGCAACTGATCGATGTTTCTCTCTCATCATTGATGTTTCTAACTCTCTATCCCTCTCCCTTCTT